CTCCTCGCCTACTCTAACACAGACCTTGACATTGTTAAGGAGTTAGCCATTCTTCCTTTATGAGCACTCGGCTCATGATCTAATTATGCACCCCGAAAAGTAAACTATCTGCAGTTGCATTGGCCTGACGTCCAGAGTGTATGGTTCTTTTCTATCGAGTGAGATGAACGGATTGGCTCGTAGCGTTAGTAAATCAAAATTTTTGTTCACGGAGGCCTCATGTTGTGGTTTTATAGTGAAAGCCTAGAAGGCATGGCGAGAGATGGTCTGACGGGCTTACTCGCAGCCGGGGCGTCGTTGGCCAAAATCCCGACTGATGTGGACTCATCAGACGTTACAGAATTCAAAACAATGCAGTGAGCAAAGCAGATGCTTGATTGTTCAGTCGCCTGGCTGAGAATTTGGCTTGCACAGGTTTGAAGTTAGCAAAATATGAACTAAGATCCTTTAGGATTGCTATGCGGGCCATTCACTACATGGTGCTGCAGACTGTCGGTCGACTTGATTGGGGTCGGGCAGTTTCTCGGATGGTAAAAACTTGTCCTTCCAGATTCCTGGGCTTTGAGAGGCGTCTGTCAACAAAACTCAAGAGAGTTCTCGGTTCTGGGAAAGGTTTTTTGGGTCCTCAGCGACCTGGTGCAGTTCCATTCGACCTACAGTTGAAAGTAGTCGAAAAAACAATACACTTTAATGGAAATCGGGCTTGAATTACGATGAGGAAGCATGTTCGGTACCGCATGAGCACTCTCTTGAGCTCAGGGTCCGCAGACTGCTGCAGTTTCTCGTGGATGGGGCTAATAAAATCTTAGAGTGATACTTTGTTGTAGATCCCGAAAACTAAAGAACAACCTGGGGAGTATAACGATAAAGAGTGGCAGAGGGTTGATCACTGCGCCTGTCCTCTGGGCTTCTTTTTTTCGAAAAATGAGAATCAGTGTTCGTGTTCCATAATCTGCTGGGGCCAGGATCTGCTTGACACGTAGCAAGGTATGCGATGTCCACTCTTTCTTCTGACTGATCAAGGCGCAGATCATTCTTCAGGCGAAAGTGGCTGATGGTGGAATAACTTGGCTGAGTCGGTATAATGTGTCCGAAGGGCACTCGACTTCTGACACAGGAATTTTGTCCGCCCGGAATTTCCGAATTTACGCTCGAATCCATCATCAGAACAGGCGGGGAGGGAGTGGACGAACACTGCTTCCAGCGACAGCACCGGCGGGCAGAATGCTGAGTTATGATCACGCAAATGACCAAGACCGGTGATGAAATCGCGGCCGTTAATGACTTACCTAGTTGGCGATCGAGCAATAGTCGCGGTAGTTACGACCACCGGTGATGAAGGTGAGAGTTGTTAATTTCGTCGCGTGAGCGCTGGGGTGGCAGTTGCACTATAAATACATGCATCTTCTGTGCCTCCGCAAGCATTTCTAATGTAGTCCCCGATGATGATTTCGGGTGTGAATTTGAAACAATATTCTTGTTCATGCGATCGAGTTTCTTTCCCCTAAATGCGGTCCTTGCTTGAAGGGGAACTCATAAGCTTATTACGAGTGTCTACTTCAACGCTTCTTGTTTATTGAGATGCATTGTGCAAGTGAGTAATGCCGTACAAATATAAAACGGGTGTGATCTCACACAGATTTCGAACGCGCACACATGCCACAGCTCGTGCAGCGCTTTCGTATCAATCAAGCTACCATGGACGCTATTCAAGGATTGTGATGTAGGGGTTTGGATCCAAGATTGTGCGGGCAGCTTCTCTCTCACTAGACAAAGACAAACCGCGCTGCTGATTGTCGCGCATAACCATGTGACAAATTCTAATGTCAGTCGTCTTCACACACCTAACAGGGACAATAGTGAACACAACTGAAGTAGGTTGTGGGCCATCATAACCTTTTGGCTTGTTTTAGGCAGGCTGTGACCCCCCACTTTGTATGGACAATGGAGTTTTGGTCTCAAAGAGCGCCCATGTCTGGTTGAACAACTTAAGACGCTGAGACCGCCAGAAATGCGGATTGTTGCTCGAAGAGTTCTGTGGTCTTCCTGCGAAATACGTTTTTATCTCAATAAACTTTAACCGACCGAACATTTAAGATGAAGCGCCCGCCTCGATTAAACTCCAAGTCATTCAAATGAATTTTCACACAGTTCAAGGTTTGGGATTTTTTTCGTATCAACCACGCTCCGTTCCCTTTCGGCTGTCAGTCATGTAAAAACAATTGCGCCCAAAAACTGTGATAATAAGGCAGAAACGTGGAATTTAGCGCCTCCTCTAGTGTGACGTAGTAGAGATTGTGTGCGAGAAACTACTGTGGTACATAAATGGGGAGTAAGAGACTATCCCAACTGAGCTTATTTTCCGAGTGGCCTGCCCGTCCTAGTTTTCAGGCACACTGCAGCTGCTTTTTATGCTCTGTATAGACCTGTTCGCACGAAACAGACAAGTTGGTTTGGAGGTGGGTGCTCAGTAAAATTGCACTTTACGGCGGAAAACTAAGCATCCTCACCGTTCACAGCGATTAACTTGCGTGCAACTACAACTGACGTAGGAAGATGCAAACCGCGAATAATATGTTTAGTTAATTGATGGTATATTCATTCGGTAGTGCCTATGTTGGCGGTATGCTTAAGTCAATTCCTGCGTGCAAACCAAACTGCACCCAACTTTACAGCCGCAGTTGTTCTGCCACAGCTGGGGAAATTCAATTCACGTTTTAATACTAACTCGGGGAGCTTCCGCCAAGCTCAGACATTCCGTCTAGCAAAGTGGGAAAGCTTTCGGAGTCGAGCCGCTATCTTCCCTCTTCGTTCAAAGGTAAGCATTCATCAACCCTAACGTGGGAAACAGATAATGTGCCAACTGAAATTGACTTTCTCATTGGCTTATTCGTTTCGCTTAGAGGAATCATCTACTGACTACACCAGTACGTCCTTGGGGAAGGTGAAGTTCTTGCGATAACCGATCGACTCAACAACAGTGAAGTCTTCATCCTTCGTTTGCACTGAAGAAGATGCTTGGACATCTTTTTGCAAAATTTTATCCATCTCAAAAGAAAAGCCTACTCTCGTGAAAAAAACTGACGTAGACTTATAGCATTCCTTCGAAAGAGTTTCGCTGACAGGGATTTGTGTGTCGTCTGTCGTCTGACACATTAGGCCTTTGCTCATTCATTTGGCATAAATCACGTGTAATTGAATACGAGATGGTTCCTCTATGTAAACTCTAGGGCACCAGAGGGCAATCTACCCGGAACAAATTAAACAAAACATCCTGCCTCAAACTCCTATTGGTCTGGCACATAGACGCTTATATTTCGTAACGTAGGCTAAACGAAAACATGAGTGGTTATACTTTTCTAAATCGGAACTTGAATTCCATCCGTGTACATGCATGCATAGGAGACGCCTTGGCCCAAAGTCAAGTCATCTAGGAAAAATTTTCCTAATGTACTTTGTAAAGTAGATCCCCTTCACCGTCAGGCGGCACTGACTTGTCGTCATCTTTTACAATGTCAAAAGACAAACCGAATTTTTAAGGGAAACTCATGTTCAAAGAAACTAATCGAAGCAGTTTCAGGTGTAGAGAACAGACGACACTGACTTACCTATGGGGATCCTACTTTCCGGAAAGAAAGGACTATCTGCTACTTGCGGCTTACTCAACATTGAGGAAACATGGTCTTCAGCACTCTGAAGGCCTATTCTGAAAAATAAGAGGTTAGAAAGGCGGAATGGTTAGCTAATTCTACCCAGATGATCAAAAAATAGATGTCTAGGCATTGATTACTTCGGGCGAATTCGCTACGTTCATGGGATACGATTCAAGAAACTTTCAATGATAGAATGTATGGTAATTTATAACTGCTCGCCTATCTCCTCTGCAACTCGTGTTTTTTTGTGATGTCACTACGACGCACGATAGTTCAGGGATAGGAAAGTTGTCCCCTGGAACTATAAGTCAAACCTCGACAGCCTCACCGTACTGGTTGAAATCGTTGCTGTTAAGATTGCAGTGCAGTTCCTTTGCCATGGTACATAATAATATACATTTTTGACCGGATACTTTATACCGAAAGGAACTGCAAGTAAGCAAAAAGGATCTGAACCAGCAGCATAGATATTCTCCTAAATTAAATCAGCTCAGTCGATGGGATTTAATCAAGTTGTATAGAAATTGTTCTTTTTCAAGCTACGTGGATATCAAGAAAGACAAACGCTCAGTTGAATGGAGTTATGGGAGAAGCGATCAGAGAGACATGTAAAGTCCATGGAGAAGACAAATTGGTGAAAGCTCGGCGGAATCTCTGAGCACAAGCTCTGATTTTTAATTTCAAGTTCACAGATGAGCACGTATATAGTTTCTAAATAGAGCGTGGATCTTTCCAACTATAAAATCGCCAAATAAAGCACCGGAGCCGGAGGAGGAATGAAGGAAGTCGTTGTTAAATTACCAAACAATGCGCAAAAGCAAGAGATTCAAGTTCGTTTCATGTTATACATCCCTTTAAGGATGCATTGTAAAAATGCCGGTAGATTACCCTTTGTCCTGCGCAGGCGATTGGATTTTAGGCGCGACGAACTGGAAAGGCCGGAGGAGGTCCTTCTGATGGCTGCCGTCTGAAGAAAAACGCGCGCAATTAAGGCAAACGAACTCTAGTTACCAGGTGAACATTGAACGCTGCTAGACCCTTCAGATGCGCTTGGAAGACTCCAAGAAAGCCTTTTTGTCAGCTTGCAGAGCCTCTTCTACTGAACCATGGACGGTACGACATCAGGCTTTAAGGCCGCCTACGAGAACGGCAAGCTTTTAGACCGAGCAGTATACTAGCTTAGCAGAGAGACTTTGATCGATCGGCGTATTTCCACAAAATTTACTCGCTACTGTGTATGGCTGTTAAGTTGCCGTCGCACCGAACCGTCCAGTGTTAGTATTCCGACTATAGAGGATTGCGTTGAATATCAACTACTGGTTCAAATAAAAGCTGGTCCAGGATAAAAATACTGAATTCAGGACGTTTTAGGGGACATTAGAAGTTTACAGTAAGCATGTCAGTTCGACTGCCGTAAACTACGATGTCTATCGGATGCCTAACACCATGATGGGCGCAGCACGGTAGCTTGCACATGAATCACTTCATAGTGAGAGCAGGTCTGCGCAGTACCTACCACACTCTCTCCCCCCTCACCCCTTTGGGCCCGGTGGCAAGACAGAGTCAAGACCACCGCAGGCGCGGTGACTGACAAAGCCGAGCAGCCAGTCTACGCGTGCCGCACACGACCTGATCTTTATACGGTAGACCAGGTTTTCACGAGAAGGGATGGGAGACTTGGACATCACATGTGCGAAAGTGTCACAGAGTTCAAGTCACGGCTCCTATCGCGTCCTGATAGATTCAAGCCAGGTACAGACGCAACACAGCAATTAAGAAGCTAACCGGCCAGCACCGGCACCAACGACAGGAGGCCGCAGATCAAAGAACCGACGTTTAAGCCGCCACTCATGATGACAGCTCTAAAAGCAAAGGGATACTGGACAGAGCTGTTATTGACCGGCGTTCAATTCATCGTCTAACAGACTGCTCGCGTGGAAGAATATGGTTGCAGTCACGATCATCGCACTCACTATAGTCTATTCTAATGTGCATAGTTATGAGGGGAGGAGACAGTCTGAATGATCACAAAGATGCGTCAGATGTTTGGATAAAAATAATGAGTACGAAGTTGGATTAAGCACTTTACTGCTGAAGAGCATTACCGACAAAGACGAGGGAGACTGGAATGGCCATTTCCGGCTTATTAGCCGTCATCAGCCAGTCACACCCAACCCCGAAGTGTGTGGCCGCTGACGGGGCTCGAGAGAGAGCCCCAAGGTTCAACGGGGCGAATGGGCTCCGTAGCGCGATCGTGAGCTTCTCCTACCATTTCCCTGCTGTCCGGAGGAACGCGCGTGAGTAACGCGCTCTACGATTGTTCGGATAATTGAGTTATGATAAAATATTCTCCATCCGGGCAATCCAAAGCCCCTTGTTTTTCTTAGCCTGAGTGTTGAAGTGAAATCGCGGCCCAGAAATATTCTAGGAATTCGTAACTCGGGTGAGTTTGCCAGTCACGGTACCAAGGCACCAGCACTTGTAGTTTAGTTCGGCAAAAGACATAACAAACTGGATCAGAAGGTCGCGCGGGAGGCACATATTTTGGAGAAATCTTCTTTAGCTTGTATACTTACGTAGTAACTTATTATTTGAGGTTAGTAGCTCTACAGGTATGGGCAGTTGGGAGTTCTTATGAGGCGACGGCAAACGGCTTACGCAGCGCGACCCTGTTCACGCAAAGTAATCCTGTTGTGACGTTCCAGTAGTCGGAGGGCACAGTAATTTGGCACTGTGAAAGGCTAACACAGATTTCCCAAGTAAAAACCCCAACTACCCCACCTTCAGAATGTTCACTTAAATCTTGCGTCGTTACACAGATATAAAAGTCTGAGTATAATTTAGGGAAAGCATGCGTTTGCTGAAAGTTCTACTTCACTTCAGTTTTTCAGAGTTTCCTAGACTTTTAACAGAAGGATAAAGATAAATAGGGTGGTGTTAATTTAGTTAATTTCGAATGTAGATGGCCTAATAATCCGATCCTCTAATGTGGTTGTAAGAATCTTCCTGGCCTGTCTGAAGGTGGACGGTAACAGGCTATCTGTGAGGGCAGACGGATTTCTTATTTTTTTTCAAATGGCGCGATCTAGTTGTTTTGGAACTGGTATACAACAGAACTAATGAACGCACACATTCCCAACGGGCCTGAGCACTTAACTGCGCACTAACTGGAAAAACTGGCATTATTGCACCTAGTTGGGAAGATATGCAACTAGAAATAGACTAATTATGCTCACCGAGGATGGATTTGTTGAGTCCCCTTCCTTGGCTTCCTCTCCGTCAAGCTCCTCATTGTTAGCCATTTGTGAACTAAAACATCAGATGAGTAAAGATGGCAAGGATGTGTGAGGACGAATCTGGAAGTACGAGAAAATGTATATTCACTTTTCCGTAATATTCGGCAATCTGTAACCTAAGTTACCTGCTCTTTTATGCTTGACTGAGATATAGTCGGCTGATTATGCTAAATAAGTCTTATTCTTTTCTGCCGTTATCAATTTCCAGGTGAACAGTCCACTACTTTTCAGTCGAAATTATGCTAAGGCATAAAACGGTCGGTAAATCGAGTGCCCTAAAGTTAATACTTGCGACTGGGTCCATCAGCCTGTTTTACAATATGGAGCAGAAACATGGATGCACTTTCTCGGGTAGTAAGGCGATCTGTTCGACAAGATGCCTTACGAGTGCTTATTATAAAACAGCCATAATAATTGTCAGATATTTTTGGGGCGTGGCCTTGGCCCCAGTGATTGTTTAACCGATAAGATTTTGCCCATAAAATAAAACCCACACTTCTTTAGCAGTGAGAGTGGATTTCTGCGAAATTGTAGATGTAAGAACGCCTGCCTGAGCCTCATCATCTGTTTCTGAAGCACCTTCCTGAAACAAAACAATAAATCAAAAATTAGCAGTCATAAACACTTTCTCGCCCCCCTTACCGAGGGCTCCATTTAATGAAGAGAGGAGTACCTGAGCGTACGCATATTTTGAAAAAAATGATGGCGCGAACTCCAGACTGGGGACCGGTGCATAAGAACCGTTGAGGCAAATGTTAGATAAGGCTGCTGCTGATGATGACGATGATGTTAAAAACAGTTCTGCGGCTACATTTGGCATGAATTGCAATACAAACGTCAAGCTGCCAGAACACTCCCACCCTTTCAAGCATCTGTGTCGGGCTTTTGCTATTTTCGAGATGTCGCCAGCACTAAATTCCAACAACAGAGTACAGTGAGAGGTAGATAGCTCCATCCAAAAGACCAGCCAGGATGCAATGCTGGAGCATGGGTGTTAGTTTTATCCTGTCTGGTCGAATTATTGCGGCAGCACACCCATGAGGCGACGGGCGCCCTTCCTCACAGGCGCAGCCTCTGCCTTGCTCAACGACTTGGCCTTTGCCCATGCACACTACTTGTTCTTTCGCCGCCAGCGGTTATCCGCCTCATGCCGACCTCAATGATGGCTCACTGATTGGTTCTCACTTGCTCACTCGTTGAACGATCTTCAGGCGTCTGTGGGCTTACGCCACTCGCTCTGACACATCTGCCTGCGCTCGTAGTCAACCGTTTGTGTAACCTCAACCAGCGATTGCTGTCTGTTAAACTCAGTCGTTCTGAATCTGGGAAGTAAAACGCGAAATTGTCGTGGATCGCACACAAAACTTTCACATTTCCAGATTCACGTACAGCCATGTCGAGCTGGAAGTTATCCTTAAACTTGGTGTCTACGCGCAGCACATCTGGAGTACCTACTAAAGAGGATTTACAGAGCCCGACGTTGAGCAATTATAACAAAGGTCAGATGTCGGACAGAGGCCTCCAAGTCCTGATCAAGAATTAAAGGGGCGGTTTAAGTTCACGAGCAGCGTGGCTATTTCAATGGTCATAACTCGACAGGATAAAGGTAAAGTGGCAGAGAGCGGCCTCACATTCAATCAAATGCACTTCTTGTTGGAGATTTTAGTTCATATTCTTCATAATGTATTCGTCGCTCCCCACCTTCTTACTCATTTCTGGCGGCGGAAAATTACAGGTTTTACCACATACAGTCTCAGTACAACTAGACTACACTACTTGTAGCCTAGTATAGTCACGCCTTAATATGTCGGCAGCTGCAGATCCTACCTTCATTGACTTTCGTGTAGTGTGGTGATGCTGACAAGAAAACAATACAGCCCGACAATTAACCAGTAATAGATAAAGAAGTGGGAGTACTGACAAAAACAAGGGCGACTGGGATGGCCACACAAATGACTATCTTAGACGAATATGGTAGTTAGATATATCAATGCAAATCAAATCAGTGTATTTGGAGTAAATGATATGAGACTTTGAAAACTCCATTAAGAAATCCAAATCGGCATGAGAAGCACTTACGTTGCAAAAACTTACAGACAATTTCAGCATGAGAAATGCATAAGACTGACAGTAAAACAGGAGTGTTCAAAGTTGGTGAATTTGTTAAATAACATTGACTGCATTTGCACGCAGTATGCTCAGTAGTGTTAAAGTTAGTATAAACAAAATGCGTTATTTAAATCAAGACAGTAGCATGTTGAGAGTCATGACTGTTTATTTGATGGGGTTTGGGAAGCTCCCACTAACCTCTAACGGGCGTATTTCCGGGCGCCTCTTAAGCACAAACGTTGGTGGAATGCACGATATACGTCGATAAGAAATGTCGCTGTCGAATGACTTTTCGCAAGAAAAATAAGGAACGTTGATTGGTGCGGCGCAGTTCCTTTTTAATTTGGCAATCATGACGTCGAAAATGCGTCTTCAGCGCCATTTCGAAAAGGTTTTCCCAGTTCACACCAATATCAAGTCCAAGTACCAACTGAGACGTCAGTAAAAAGTTATCTCTGTCTTTTCTATAGTGAGGAAGGGGAGAGACTTAAGGCGGCCAGACGTTGTTCGTAGGGGTTGACTTTTCAAGAGATAGTGTAGTGAAAGTACGTTTCCTACCTGCTTCGTTGATATCACGTGTATTACCGCAGGCTTGTCGACATTGAATTTCATGGACCTGAGCTCGCTTCATGTCGGCAACCTTTCTATATCCTGCTGCAATATCTGGGAGTCTTTCATCTTTTATCATCCTCCACAGCTTAAGATCATCTGCAATCAATGCTGTATCGGACTTAGCCATCTGTAATAGGTCATTTACATAGACAACAGGGGCGGCCCAGGAGCTGATCCTTGTGGGACTCCACTTTTAACAGACGTCCATTCCATAGCCAGTGAAGAGGGCTTCAGTAACAGGTAACAGCAAAACCAAGCGACTTATCTTAGTGACCTGAAGTCGGGTCTAAGGATTCAGGTTTTGCATGACGCTGAGGAAGATTTCATAGTACAAATGGCTCCAGTTGGAAACATTTTCGATTTTTTCTGTAGATGGCATCTGAGATATTGAGAATCAGGTCGAAAGTTGTTCATCGAAAAGAAAATTATGCAACGATGCCGCTCACCACATAATCCTGATGACTCTTTCTGTCCCCACCAATCTTGCGCTACGATATTTCGGGATAAAAATAGTTGCCCATTCTCAGCCATGTCTTTCGGCTTAGTCCGTAACTCAAGTCACCGCACTTAAAATAAAAAGATGCTTGAAATACCGACTAACTGGTACAGAGAGCAGAACACACAGGCGTCATCGAGAAGTTGAAAATTCAGGGTTGTCTTACGATAAGTTTTTTCAAGTTCCTATAATCTGGTAATCAAAATACTTGCTAATAAACCGACCCATCATGTGGAGTGTCTCATGCGAATTGTTGGTTTTTGTAAACATCATCTGCTTAGCCACTTAAGCAGTTTTGCTCCCATACGAAGTGATACGTGTATTGTTTATCTAATACCTGCGCCTCTGATTCCCAAAACATGCCGGTGCACTTTTTCGGAGGCTCATAACTTCCGGTTTTGAAATGCTGATATTTAACGATCGACATCTTTTCCGCTTTAAAGTTGGAGTAGGATCCACAGTTATTTTTGATTGCTGCTCTGAAATCGGAAACACCTAGAGTTCTCTGATTTAACTGTTGGATTATTTGACATCTAATTTTCAAAAAACCGAATGCCTTCGCAGGAATTCGTTTTCTTCGGAACTTCAGCGAAAGGCAAGTATTCGAAGTTGGGATCGCAAGAGATAAAAAACGTAAAATGAATCTGTAAGGAGGCGTGAAGGCCGCAAAACTGCCACTAATCGAAGTAATGAGGAAAGGCGGCAATGAAAAAGAAAGTTGCAACAATAAAACGGGAAAGCAAGAGATAGCGTGGAAAGACTAACTTCAACGAACTTGGTAGTGAGCTTCTCCAACATATTGTCCAACTGAATGAGCTCCTGAGTTGATTTCGGCATTTCCTCCAGCCTTTTGAGCGACATGACGGATGACGGCGGCTTTGTTATGAACGCTATCCTGCCAGCTTCCTCGTCCACCTCTTCAATTGCCCCGAAATTATCTTCGTCGCAAAGAGAAACGCTGGCGGGCCGCGAATATGGAGGTGTAGGCGGTTTTAGGGGATCTAAGAGAGCAACTGTGGTACAGAGGCTTCGCTTTTTGTTAGCGTCATTTTCACCTGTCCTTGGTCGTTCAAGAGCGACTGGCCTCAAGTTAGATGCGTTGTCGTTGTGGTCGCCCGCGTGAGACATTTGGCTCTCAGAGGATGGGGATAAGTAGACGTCATCCTCGCCAGTAGTGACAGCGAGACGGCTGTCATCAGGGGACTGTTCGCTTTTTAAACGAAACACATTTGACTTACTGGGGAGAATGATAACTGGGTGATGTTTAATCTGGACGTCGGGAATTTAGTATGCATGCATGTGTGTACTTAAAAAGGGGGCGCACGGTAGATGCACTGGACAAAAACGCGGTTAGATCGGAGTCCGGCAGGCGTTTCTTCGGAATGTCCACCCATGACAAATGCCAACATTCAAGCGTGGTGGCGACCAGGTGAAGGCTCATGATGCGGCAATTGGAATCAGAGCCGTCCTCCCTTTTTTACGGTGCATAAAATCCTGGTCAAGGCGGATAAACCCGGCGTGCTAAGAACAGTACAGTCTATTGCTAGTCAAGATTTACTAGCAGTAACATACTTCAACAGCCTTCGAAAATCCCAGAGACGCGCTTATGCAGAGTTGGGCATATCGCGATCGCCTTTGCAACGCATCACGCCAGATAATGATTTGCACCCATATTGTCCACGTGCACTCCGCGCTCTTAACGAGGATGACGGAGACAGGCACCTTTGATTTTGTAAAACTTGTGCGGCTGCATAAGAAGATTTTCCTGAATTTTTGGGCCACAATATTTGGTCGGACCAAGTCAGTTTCAAACTAAATGGACGGATAAATCGAAATAACTGCATCTACTGGTCAGATTCAAATCCACATGAGATATTACAACAGAGGTTTGATTTGCCTGGTGTCACTGCTTGGCGTGGCATTTTCAGTACAGGACGAATTGGTCCGTTTATCTTTGATAATACAGTGACGGCCGAATCACATCTAAACATACTGAATGAAAGGTTGTGGCCTATAACGTTTCAACGCGCAGATTACGTTGACTTGTACTTTCAGCAGGATGGCGCCCCAGCCCACTATGCTCTCCATCTCGAATGTGGTTTGACGAACATTTTCCGGGTAGATGGATAGGTCGTCGCGGTGCCGTGGAATGGCCTGCAAAATCCACAAACCTCAGTCCCTCAGACTTCTTTCTCTGGAGCCACCCTGTATACGCAGAAAACGTCTACTAACAGAAATCTATATGTATTGGATGGTAGGCAACCCCAAAAAATATAAGTTAAATAAGTTCTTTGGGAAAGGAAGGTTGTTGTGTAAATCTTCGACGCCGGTTCCCCGGGTCGACAAACCCAGATCAAATGAGCCAAAAACAGTTATTGTTCTAAATTCACACAAAACTCGCTATTTGCTTGGTGTTTGCGCTAATAAGCGGCCGCTAGGTGTCGCTCTGTTCTAATTGCCTCTCGTCTCTTCTCTTTCTTCCTATGATTTCAGTACGCGGCATCTAACTAGATACGCCGGTTGATGCATTATTCCTTTTAATACACGGCCTCGAGGAACTCCCGGTTTTTCTTGAAACGGCAGACATTGGCAGTGCACGTTTTGACCCAGGCAAGTGTGTGCTCCGTGTCCAGAGTACCCATAGCTAACTGGGACAGATAGACTTGCTAGCCAATAGGTCGCGAGATCGAGGCCAGTTGTTCCCCACCTAGGGGTTGGGTATGGCTGGCTGAGGACGGCTAATAAGTCAAAAATGGCGACTCCAGTCTCCCTGGTCTTTGTCGGTAATGTTATCATGCCTATATTACTCGCCACTGTGTGGCTGCTGGCGGGGCTTGAGAGAGATAGACCCATGACACAAGGGCACGAGCGAGTTTCGTAACGCGATCAGTGAGCGCCCCCCAATTATTGTATATACCCGATCGCAACCGACTGCACAACGGTCCCGTGGCTCAGTAGTTCGAGGCGTTGGACTTATAACAAACAGGTCGTGGGATCAAGCCCCAGTTGTTGTAAGCCTCGGGGTGGGGGCATGTTTGGCTGACGATGGCTAATAAGCCAAAATTGGCCATTCACGTATCCCATGTCTTCGTTCGTTATACCATTCAACACACACTACGAGGACTCACAACTGCAGCTGATGGGATAATGGCATCCTTCGATGTCGTTCCTCTCTTCCCGCCCATACCGCTGGATTTAGCAAGGCAATGCACAGACGAACGTCTCCAGTCCAGCGACACAGACGTCCCTGTGCCTGCTTTGCTTCAATTCTTGGAACCTTGTCCGGAAACGAACTTCTCATTTGCACACGAATACTACCAACTGATAAGGGGACGCCCATGGGAACACCTATCCCCGGTTTTCTTGCTGAAATCACGCTGCAAAAACTAGAAACCATGGCCCTATGGTTAGTTAATCTCAAATTATGGGTTAGTTATGTAAATGACCCTTTCTTGCCGTCAAAAGAAATCACCTGGAAATTCTCTGCAATGTTATTAACCCAAAGCTACCAGGAATCTCGTTTACGCTCGAAAAAGAGGTTGACAGCAAACCCTCTTTCCTTGACGTTCTGGTACAGGGATTGCAGTATCGCAGGGATCGCACTATTTCGCCACCCCCTACCCCAGACACAGGGAATCGCAACTGCAATCCCTAACACCTCTACGTTGGCTCAATGACCTCTGCCCGCATGCCGGATCGACGACCATTAAGTCCATTGTCCGCAGTCACATTGAATCGTCATTTCCCCCTACCCTCCAACACAGGGAGCCGCAACAGTTCCCCATCCCCCGCCGCCACAGACCCTAGCCTAATTATGTCTCCACCTCCTTTCATACATTAGTTGCTTGCCTGTTAGTGGCTGCCCTGTCACGCCAACCAATTTTGTCCGACCATTTCACTTTTTGCTCTGTTTAGTTCGTCTGACGACGGGTTGGTGCCACCAGCTCGAAAATTCACGAGTATAACTCGAGTTTTTCGGACAAGCCTTATATCTTCATCATCATCATATATATGTATGTTGATCAGAGGTGGTATGCATTGCGAGTTGATATAATGAAAAACGGAAGAGGTTTTTCGGAAAAGTCGGGTTGTACTCGTGAATTGTTGAGCTGGTGACGTCCTAACCACAACAGCGAGTGCTGCATGTACATTCGACATATTTATGTACCTCACGTCATAAGGCCGATGACACACTGATGACCGGTAACGACCGCGAAACAACTTCCTGCGTCTGACCCATTGCACTCTTAGTGAGCCGCATATGTATTATGCATATTTTAAGGCAAATACGTCCTTTGGGAAAACCAGTAATTTCACTGGGTAAATTTTCGACGCTGGTTCTCCTGGTCGCCGTCAGACTTGAGTGCATGTGCAAAAAACAACTAACATTTCAAACGTGCCGATAAATCGATATTCATTTAGCGTTTGTGCCAGTGGGCGGCCGCCGCGTGTGTCACTCTGTAGTGATTTGCTTTCGTCTCTGCCTTCTTCCCTGAGATTTTTGTACATGGCATCTAACTCAATGTGCTAATTGATGCATGACTCGTCGGAGTGCATAGCTTCAAAAATCTTTCGGCATTTTTTCGAGGGGCAAACTCCGACAATGTGAGATTCGTCTCATGCGAAGGTGTGCCCAGTATCAAGGGTGTGCATGGCCATTTGAGTGCGTAAAGTAGTCGTCGGCCTGTGCATCACTTTTACTTGGAATTTCCCAAGTGTTTTCAAACGAGTTCAGACACATTCCTGATGTAAGAAGGATTCGCCAAGTATTTACTTAGGGAGCTCTTACTGTCCTATGCATCGACGTACGAAATCTCTAGGGTAAGCGTCTGGAAAAAAATAATTTGAACAGGTAGTTTGGCTCGACTTGGTACCTTTTTTCATCAGAACAGTGTGTTTTTGCTCAATGTCGTAGACTTTTGACAGTGTTCGGCTTGTGAGAGATTGCGCTGTTGATTTTATAGTGTAGAATTAATTCCGCATACGTTTCTTTGCAGCAAACTGTAGTGTGTAATGCTCCGTCAGTCTTTCTCCGTATGAGAACATCCAGAAGTGGGTGTTTTTTGATAAGCTCCCTTTGAGAGTGTGTCTAACCCCCGGAATGGTTGAGTTGATGGTGCTGTGGAGCGTTTCCAGACAGAGTCTCGGGGTAGGTTGATACAGAACTGCTTCGGGCTTTTTTGCCTCTAGAATTGATGAACTTCGGTTCGATGAAGCGCTTATGACCCATCTGATAGACTCCAATGGTGCACCAACTGCGCTAGGTGTGTGAGCGTACGTTTGTGTTTCCGGTCCCAGTTGGCGGTCAGATTTATGCTTGGTTGAGTGGGGACAAACAGGCCCAAAACAGTTCTGCATCAATCTACCCCTCAGACTCTGTCGTCTCCCCCCTGCTATCATAGCTCGGCCGACTTCGGCCTGGTAGGTGGCTGTGCGTTTCTGACCCTTGTCAGCCATACGAAGCCTGTTTGCTTCGGGAAGCTAATGGATCGGTGCATCTGGTGTTTGTAGTTGCCTTTCGACTAGTTCAGATACATTTCTCACGTATGGGAGAGTTCACCAGGTTTTCGTGCCCGGGCAGCCGTAGCATTGAAAATACCTTTCTCCTTGAATTACCGGTGCCTCATGCATTGACGTACAAAGTCATGCGGGTACCCATTTTGGAAAAATAGCTTGTAGAAGTATTTCGCGTCTGCCCAAAAACCTGCTTCATCATAGCAGTGAGTTTTGGCTTCTGCCCGATAAGGAAAGGCCGCGAATTCCTGAAATCAGTGCACTCAGACGAGGCATGCACCAATCGGCATATCGGTCCAAATTCCACAGACAAAATCATTAGGAACCAGCCTCGAAAATTTGCACAATAAAAGTTGCAATCCCCTAATGAATTTCATCTTTCCAATTAAATTTCTTGGAATACCCCTTTTTCAATTCACAAATGTACAGTGCGTGACCTATCTCATGAAATGTTGGCTGAAATTCTGAAATGCGTTTTCGATTAGGAAGGATTACTTGGTCGCGGTTGTAATACTGATTATCTTGTGGCATACTCTTATAACATTTCGGACTTGGCAGGATGTCGGCTTTTAAATGCATGTCTTTTCAATCTCCTGTAGAAAGCGTGCTCGGTAAAACATGACTACGTATGTAGCATGCATTTTTCCCATTGATTTTCGATGGTCTTGGAAATTCAAATATATTTTATAGAAACCATAAACAAAAATATGCTTTCTTTTAGTCACTCAATAGAAAATCACGTCTTCTTTATAATTTATACTTAAAGAAGGGGTATAATTAGGTTTTTAAAAAGTTTCTAATTATGAAACTTTTTAAGACCGCGATATGTCCATTCACATAGCATCGTACCTGGCCGTTTACCACTGCTCTTCATGAAATGCACAACATGGACCACATTCATTGCAAAATTTTATGGACCCTGTATGATATCTATTTAATGACATAGAAAAATATGGGATTCTCTTTACGCGGAACGCATGCACCTTGTAGAGTGTAATCACTAAGCGCTAATGTAACGAATGATCAGGCTCTAAATTTTTCGACAATTAGAAAACTTTTTTAAAACCTAATTATCCTCCTTCCTTAAGTATAAAATATAAAGAAGACGTGATTCTCTATTGATTGACTAAAAGAAAGCACATTTTTGTTTGTGGTTTCTATAAAATATATTTGAATTTCAAAGACCATCGAAAATCAATGGGAAAAATGCATGCTAATTAAGTAGTCATTTTTTCCCAAGCACGCTTTCTACAGGAGATTGAAAAGACATGCATTTAAAAGCCGACATCCTGCCGAGTCCGAAATGTTATAAGAGTATGCCACAAGATAATCAGTATTACAACCGCGACCAAGTAATCCTTCCTAATCGAAAACTCATTTCAGAATTTCAGCCAACATTTCATGAGATAGGTCACGCACTGTAATCATCACAAGTCGAATAACAAATGGTAGCTCAACTTACCTGCCGGTGCATTCACTATTATAATCGAACCTAAAATTTAGAAATTCTGTCTGAAGACTTCGAAAAAGGAGAAGAAAAACGTACATCGAGACCAGAACAGGATGAAAATTCATAGTATTACATTTTTGGTGATGAAAAAGTACGAATAAACTCTTCGGGCTTAGAGGCGTACTCGTTTTGACTGTATCTAGCAGCTAGAAAATACACAGGTGCTCAAGAAGTCAAGAGATATTTAGGTACCTGGACTTTTCCGAAGGGTGTTGCGAAAGTGCTGGCCAAACCCTGTAAGCCTCCGATAACTTGGTCATGAGGCGACGATGGTCTTTGTTAAGTTTCCTTAAACTGATCCGGCGAAACGCCTGATTTCGAATATGTGAGACCAGTGGCAACTTGTCCCTCCGAATAAGTATGTCTTTCTCCTCATATTCTGGTGCCTGAGTGGAACGCTCATTTTCCGCAGGCTTTCTGCTGGGGAAGCGAGGTACTGGACGCTCTGCGATGGTCATCGATGGTTTGTTTGTTGCCTTTTTTGTAGCGCTGGCAGGAACGCGTGTTTGAGAACGCACAGCACTCGTCTTCCCCCGTCTGGTGCGAGATACGGAGGAGAATTGAGACTGTAGGAGATCTAAGCCAGCTTGTTCCAAGGCCTGACTGGCGGCCACTGAGGGGCAGAGTGCGAGTGCAGCCTTTAAGTGTTTTATTCCGTTAAGAGGCCGGTCATCCTGGAAATCCATTGCAGCAAGAGCTTCTTCAGCCTGAAGTTGAACTGCTGGCCACTGGGCATCCCGAGCAGCTTCTCGTGCCAGAGCATATTGCCAACGCGCCTTTCGAAGGGCACCGGAACGGGCCAGCGCGTACGCCATGTTGCAGCCTGCCTGCGCTTGCCCTGCACGGTTTCCAACGCGGCCTTTTAGGCAAAACACAGTTTGGCGGACGCTTAATTATCCTTTCGCTGTCTAATACGTTTATTTATGTTGTGCAATGGGCACTTTATACAGTTGTCTGACATGAAATCAAATTTTGCTTTATGGTATTTTTGACTGGCAGGTAAATAAGCCGTGCGGTATCAGTCGGCTATCTGGTTTCTGTGTCCTGACTGGTCAAGGGACCCTGGGCACGATGTGTTGGAGATGCTCGTCGGAACACTAATGCAGGACACCGGTGAGGGACCCAACCAATTTCAAAAACAATATTGGAAACAGCTGACAAGGGCAGAAGCTGCAAAAATTAGCTGGTTATTAAGAAGGGCCTGGACGGCAAAAAGTAAATTTCTAAAATTGTAAGGAGAATTATGTGAATATTTCAAAGCTTTTAAAGTGAGAGACAGAAAACTGTAGCTTTTACACCACAATCTCATGATTGGTCTAGGACGTGTGTTGCCAGCCATTCAAAAAGCGACAACCGCACGCAATGTCACATTTCTTCTACTCAACTAGATGACTTAATTAGCCTAGTTTTAAAGGCTGCCCAGTAAATCATATAAAGTAACATATGGATAAAAATGGGCCGAAATGAAACCAAAAACAAATACAGCAAAACTAAAGTGTTCTCGTCATTTTAGTAAACACCTACTAGTGAAAATTGCTGTCTTATATTATACAGTTAAATAATTGTTGACTGACTTATTAAAGGCCCATAAAATGCGGCTGAAATAAAAAGGTTAAGGTGAATTGCGTGATATTGCGTTCCATACTACTGGACTCCGCTCTGTCCATACTGGCCGTTTACGTGGATAGCTATTTTCACCTGTAGGGACTAGGTGGCGACTAAACAAGTTGTCATTTATTACAACGGTTGACTGCTATAATACAGCGCGATGGGTAATTGTCAGTTTGAGAGTTCCACTGTTGCGCTTAGTGCTGGAGCCCCAACATCTGAAAAACCACGGAGACTTCTAGGACACAAAAAAGATAACTGCATAAACGAACAGAGGCAGACTGGGCAGTCAAAAACATTTTCATATCCGACAGTTAAACCAACACTGCACATATCAAAATGTCATTTTACTTGTTATAGTTAGACCACAGCCAAATCAGTGCCGAACGTTTAAGTTGGCTATCGCTTTGGAAATAAACATTTGGTGTCAAACAGGCGTCCGCTGTTGGATAAGCTTTGTAGCCAAACCAATCGGGGCTGCTTTAGCGGGTTATGCTCTCGACAAAAGAGGTATCTGCTACGCGATGAGAGAATTTCATTTTTTCGATAGAAATGATCGTTTTAGTTGGCATCGCCTACCACAACCAAAACAACACCTGCAGGACAGTGGAGTCTGCCAATAGCTTAGTATTTAGCCTAGAGCCGTAGGGTCATTAACGTTTCATGCTTTCCCCATTCATTGCATTGGTTGGAATTTATATCTGCTTGCAAACACAATAGATATAAAATGGATAATATCCAAAGTTCATTCGAAATGACTTAGTTCATCAATATGTGTGAGGTGGCATGAAGGGGCAGCGTATAACTTTTGTCGGAAATTAGCTAAACGTGTGTTTTAGGGGTTACCGTAGGCATCTACCGCAGCTCCAAGTGCGGAAATAGCTTCGGAAAAATCCTCTGCAATTGCATATGCAGACCCCAGATTTTGAAGGACTGAGGCCCTCAGAAGTGTGCCTTGAGATTCCAGTCTTGCGTGCGCTTTGACGAAGCACTTGATGGCACTGGTTGTACGCTCAAAAGCCATGAATGCAATACCCAATTCGTTGAATAAAACGCCTTAAAGTTAAATATACAAGACATTTGCTATACAATACCAAAAGAGATGAATACTTGTTTGGAAATAAGGAAATACTACTACTAGCGGACTAATAGCGGTTATTTGTGGGCAGTGTATGGCTTCTCTTACGTTAATAAGCGCCTACTTTCATAAAAAATTAGTTAGAATTGTGCCTGGGAGCATAAAATCCGAGGTCGTTTACTAAACTAAAATAGGATCTAGTTTAAGCCCGCGAAGCAGAATACTACTTTTTCTGAACCCATAAATAAACAGTTGACAGTTGAAAGCTGACGATTGGGATCAGAAGATTGCTCGAATGCACTTAATCTAATCTGAAGGGCTCCGTAACCTATCTGTGCACTGTGAAGGATTTTGTTGAATAAAGTGTTGGTCAGTTAGGTGTTGAAAGATGTAATGATTGTGCCTGTCATGGTAACTAATGGTCGATGATAGCTGAACTTCCAGTTGACCCCAAAAAATAGGACGAACGCTGGAAGTAAGTCGGTTTTGTACTCAATAAGACACCCTTCCTTTAAGAAACAAAGGCGTGAAACATTCAAATGCATTTTGAGAGGTTGCACAAATAAGATCACGCTTTTGATTTGGTCAAACCATGTCAGAAATTGGGTTCATCGGTGTGCATTCCAGTGGCTCAGGCCTATTTAAACAGTATATTTACGGCATACTCCTAAGTGACAACGACGTCCTAATGAGTTGTTAGATGAAGCCAGTTTATAGGGAAGAGCGAGCCTAAAGGGACATGCGATACAGGCTTATGGAAGTGCAGGAATTGGACCAGATAATAGGTTGGTTTTGTCCTGAAAATAAACGCCTTCACAAATACTGACCAGATATCTGGTATTAGCATCAGAGGACCGCCATAATTAGTAAATTCATTGAAGTCACCATAATAATGGCTTAAAAGACCTACTGAACCACGGACGTTATGTATCCCTCTCATAGTTCAGGCCCGACGTGCTTATTGGCGGTTTATGGGGTAAAGGTATGTCGATTTTAGCAATAGCAGGTTAATTTCATGAAAGTTTAAGATTTTGGTTAAAAAGCATGGAAACCGGGCGCGCACAGAAGAGCATGGAAACAGTTATGAGGAAGATTATTATGCAGTCAAAGGAGATTCTAAGAAAAGATGAGCGCAATAAAAGTAAGAGGCAAAAATATTTACTGAAAGGTGGCACTCGCAGTAAATACTCGTTTGGTTGGTGGGTTTGACTATCACTCCTTTTGGAATGTCAAGTAATAATAGACGCCCAAGCATTTCCTGCACACAGAAGATGAGACGATTTTTGATCTGCCCCTGTGAAAATACTCCGGCATTCACTGTGTAAGTACTAGACAGCTGTCCGCACTTCAGGGCATTATACTGTTGCAACCATCCAATAAATGATCACAAAAGGGCTAAATTAATGTTTATCTTACATGCCCGCGAGCAGTAGCAACTTAAAGCTAGTAATATACTAGTCAGTTAAGGATGGTAAACCTTCTCGAACTTGGAATGTTTTTTTTCACGAAAGATATCGAAAGGTGCTTTGTATCAGATGACAAGCATAGATAACTGGTATTTGACTGAGGAATCCACCAAACCTACCTTGCTCTGGAGAAAATTTAAGTGACTTGGTTAGAGAAAGCGCCCAAGAGAGAGTCGAAGTTGCTGATTTTGTGTCTCTTGCGGTAATAAACCAGCGTATAGCCCTGAGAGCGGCATATGCAGCATCACAGGCCGAATTGCATGCTTTGTATGCTTTGGCTGCTTTAAGCCATGACACAGCGGAGGTAAGAGGCTTAACATCGGTCGTTTCCTGATTTATTGCATATCTTTTTCGGATGTCTGCCAGTAGTTCGGTCAGAGCGATACGATAAGCCTCATCGAGAGAAGAGTTCGGAGAAAGTTTAGGCTCAATTATATCAATTGCCTTTTTTAAATATGTGGCAGCATCAGCCTTCTGCTCCATTTGTTCATATGCTGTAGCGTACTGAATATATAGATTTTCAATCTCAAAACCATAGGTTCGTTTGCCGTTCTTGTTTTCGAGCAAGACGGAAAGTTTGTCCAGAAGATCCAAAGCAGGAACCGGGTTAAACTGAGAAAGTAGAGCAGCAGATTTATTGAAAAGATTTTTAATTTCTTTATTGTCCAATTGCTTTGAGGGACTATGCTCTCCCTGAACATACATAAAGTCCCCAGCCGATTGAAAGCAAGCAGCGGCAATATCCGGGTCTGCGTTATATATACAGTAAGCGCCATCACCAGAAACCTTCGAAAAGTCATTTAATGTGTCCATTTTTGAGAAGGTCTGCGTCTATCCCAAGTGTACTACAACGCTCGGCGAAACACCATTACAAAAAGGCGGCTGCAGCTTATCCATAACATTGCTTATATAAAGAATCATACGAGGACGGAAGGTTGCGCAGTGCTCAGGCCAACTTGCAAAACAACTATTCGGTCACCTGAATTTCCCATAGAGAGCTCATCAATAGGGCGGATAAAAAATTCATGATGGAAGTAAAACGCACCGTCTAACAGATTTTCAAATGCTATGGCCCATTGTTCGTGGCTCCGCGTGGTAACTGCAACCAGGCTTAGGGAATATTTAAAATAAGAGGGTAGTGGAATGGGCAGCAGAGAGAACCAATTGCTCATGCCGTCACAAAGGGCAAAAACACAGCTTTATCGTATAACAGCTGGGGAATGGACAAAGATATAGGCTATAGAAATTGACACTGCACATACAACAGAAATAATCGCCCACAACCCAAATGATCAAACAAAAAATGCATCTAAATGTTCATGAAAATTTTAAGCAACAGGACATGGCAGGCTGATTAAGCCAGTTTTAGATGTTATGTTTGGATTCCATAAGTGCGAGTACACATAAAACTGCATAGCGAACTACATACTACCTTGCAGCACGTGTTTTCGCAACAAAACTACGTGGTCGCCTCAACAGAACGAAATCGTAAACAGCAGTCATAAAACATTCACAATAAAAAGTTACGTGTGATTAGTGCTTTTGTGACCGAACATACCATGAACATTGTTGAAGAATTCGACCGCATACCTCAGGTGGTTTTCTTGGTTCTCGTCACTAGTGTCGATACCGATCATTCTACCAATGCCTGTCTCAGGTAAAATATTTAAAAAGTTCCGCCATATTTTCCCAATTTCTCCATCTTTATATGTCCAGTTTCTCTCATATATACGACAGCTTGACTGCCGTGACCGACGGTGTCCACCTTGAGCTCCACAGCGAGGTGGAAGCGGGCACGTTGACTTGTGGTTAGATTAGTTTGGAGTGGTAGTGGGCTTGTGCAGTATCTAGCGAACCCTCTCGTCCTCCCCGCTCGAGCCTAGTGTTAAGACATAGTCAAGAAGACCAAAGGCGGGAGAGGACCGTGGTGGCTGGCAGCCGGCCCCGCAGTTAGGCGTGCAACCACACTTGACCAGGATTTTAACCAGCAAGAAAATAAACGGGTCAGAAGGAGGCGAATGACACAAGTCACTGGATAACCTTGCACAAGGCCTATATATATAGCGGGAGCGCAAACGCATCTACCGGCAGGAAATCATCTGTCAGAGGACTGCCAGCGCGCACCAGGCTGAAAGGGCCATGGTTTGTTGAATCACGGCGTAGTATACGCATCAATATCAACAACGGTTAAAGAGAACTCCAATGGGGTCACCTATATCCGACTTTCTTACAGAGGTAACAGTGCGCAAACTAGAATGTGCGGTTCCTCCACTCATTTGCCTAAATGAATGGCTGCGGTATGAAGACAACATATTTGTAGTCGTTAAAAGGGATTAACAAGAAATTCTGCATAACATCACCAAGTCGGCAATTCCGGAAAGAAAGTTATCACAAGGAAAAGAATTCGACAGCACATTCCCATTTTTGGATGTTCCCATACAGCGGGAGACTGAAGGAACATTTCACACAACTGTTTGGCGCAAAGCAACGCATGCGGAGGTCGTTCCTCACTATAACATCAAGAACTCAATCTCTTACAAACGAAGCACTGTTAACAGCTTGCTTCACTAAGTAAAAACGCACTCTTCCGACGAAGAAAGTTACAGAATAGAGCTCGATTAACTTTCGAATCATTTTCCCGAAATGGTTGTCCAAGGGATTTTGTTTATCGATTCATGAAGAAACAGGAGTCCAAGGAAAGGAAATCAGATAGTTCTATACAGGCAACGAATGCAGATGCTCGACGAACCCTCCATTACATCATAAATGTGACTGAACTTGTCGAAAGACACTTGAGAAATCAGTAAATATAAGTGGCGATCAGGCCGGCTGCTGAGTTACTGGGTTAGTTGTTACACCCTCAGGATAGGGTTGGTTATTTGAAGAGGAAGCCCGTCGTCTAGAATATCCCACGCAAGGCATACGATGCCGGACATTGTGGCCAAACTGGAAGGTCTTCCACCACACGCATCCATGAACATCGGCTAGCTGTTAAGGACCGAGACCATCTATCTCAAATGGCCATGCACAAAATAGATACTAGGCAAACTTTTACATAAAGAAAAACAGCTAGCCGAAGAGGATTAACTGAAAACCGTTCGTTAAATGTCTCGAAACTTTTCTCCCGAAAAGTACGAACTCAAAGAAAGACGCACCATCCCACTCTCCGAGACGCTCTCGGAAATCCTATAGTCGATGCCCGGCTAACCTCTGAGAGCTTCAATGCTTTCCCATCCAAAACGTTTACCGAATACTCTACCACTCCTCTTCCGAGCATCCAGACACTGACCGGGGCAGTTCTCGAAACAATAACTTTCACTCTGTGCGATGTGACTGTCGCGATTCGCCATTTTCGTCAATCTCATAGCCGGAGACCTGATGGTGTCCCAGTAAGCGTTTTAAAAGCCGATGCGAATACGATTTTCCCATCCCTCTTATGCAAGATGTTTAATCTCGATTTCGAAAGTGAAACCTATAATATCTTGTAATATCTGCACATCACGGCATAGCCAATTCCGTAGGGAATTCGACTACTTTAAATTCTGAGCTTTTTAACCACACCATCACGCCTGGTATAAACACGCTTCGATCGACTCCCCCAGCAACCCCTAGTAAGCCTAAGCATGTGTCTAAGTCAAAGGCAAATCCAATTGTTGTCTCAGCCACTCGGACACCCCATAAATATAAAACCATTATAAAATCTTTTCCTCCACAATCGGTTAATAGTGCCTGAAACACCCCGACTCAAAACGTAGCGGGTTCGCAACTGCCGCCCAGCCCTCATATCAAGGCAGTTAGGCCGAATATGCCGATTTTCCCACCGTTTAATAGAATTCTTGCTCCAATGGAAACAATGCGTCCCCCACCCCCTAACTTGTTTCCTCCACAGCCGTTCTACCAATGTATTCCTCATGCTAATGTCTATACTGGATCAGTTAACTCATGCGATCCTCAGATTCGTTCCGCCGGGAATGTGTTGCGGTATCTGCCCCACGGATTTTCAACTGAAAATAAGTTAGCTAACAGTGGTTACCAGTTCACCGGCCCGTCATTCCCTCCCCAAAGTTCTACCCCTTTTTATCCACGTCAGAATTTTTCGATGCCACAAAGTTTTTTGCAGAACCGGATGGTTGCATCCGGACCGTTTGCTCTGTGGGCAGCCCAGAACTGGACGATGTAGCCCACCTCCCTCTGAAACCAACAGCCTTTCCCTTCAAACTTTTTGTTTTAAATGCCAGATCATTGCTTAATAAGATGCCTTCGCTTCAGACGCAGGTGTTCGTCCATTGTCCTGATATTGTTTTAGTAACTGAGACGTGGGCATCAGCCTCAGTAGTTGACTCCGAACACTCTCTTCTAGGCTGTAATTGCATTCGAAATGATCGCCAAGATAGCCGTGGTGGGGGCAGCTGCGTCTACGTAAAACAAAGACTTCCATTTTTGCCGTTGGGCATCCCGCATTTTTGCGCAATAGAAGGCAGCTGCTGGCTCCAGGTTTCCCTAAAAAATAAGTCCTCTTTACTCGTTGGCTGCGTCTATCGCCCTACCAAAGCCAACGACAATTTTGATCGTTTACTCTCACAGGCACTTCATGCTGCGGCCAACTAATGCTTTAAGTATCAATTGGTTGCGGGTGACTTTAATCTCCCTGAAGTCCGCTGATCTCCGCCTTCAGGCCCCAGAAGGTTCGAAGACTTTCTTGAGGCTGTGGATGTTGGGATGTGGAATCAGGTTGTCGATTTTCCCACCCGAGGCTCAAGCATACTTGACTTAATTTTCTGTAGAGGCTGCATGGCATCGTCAGTGTCATCCCTAGGCCCACTGGGGGGCTCAGACCATGACATAGTTGTTTCAACGTTGGAATTCGAGGCTGACAAAACGTCGTCCCCAAAGTATAGCTTTCTCCGCGATTTTCGATCAACTCGCCCAACCGAAATATTGGCTCACCTTAATTCCTACAACTGGACTGATTTATTCCTTAGTTCGGATGTAAATGTTTGCACTGCAAATCTGTACGAAATTTTGGATCCGCTCAGTTCTCGTTTTGTTCCCCGTAAGAAAATTATTAATGTTTCAGATGAGGTTTTCCTACCCTTAGCCTTTAGTCGTAGATCGCGCAGACTTTATCGTCGTTTCCATCTTCAGAACGACGTTTCTGTCTTGCCCTTGATTTGTGATATTTTTGAGCGTGCTAAGAGATTGTCTGAAGAAGAACAGCCAGCCGAAGAGGTCCAGTTTACCGAAAACCATTCGTTAAATGTCTCGAAACGTTTCTCTAGAAAAATACAAACTCACCGAAAGACGAAGCATCCCATCCTCCGAGACGCTCTCAGAAAACCCATAGTTGATGCCCAGTTAATCGCTGATAGTTTCAATGATTTCCTGTCCAAAACGTTCATTGAAGACTCGATCACTCCGCTTCCGACCATCCAGCCATTGACCGGGGCAGTTCTAGAAACTATAACTTTCACTCTGTGGGATGTGACTGTTGCGATTCGGCGTTTTCGTAAATCTTCTAGTTCAGGACCTGATGGTGTCCCAGTAAGTATTTTAAAAGCCGATGCAAATAAGATTTTCCCATCCCTCTTGTGCAAGATATTTAATCTTACTCTTGAAAATGAAACCTATCCTACCTTTTGGAAGGAATCACACATCTTGCCCATTCCTAAGCACGGCAAATCTACGTCATTTGATGACTTTCGGCCAATGAACACCCTCCCTGCAGTTTCGAAGATCTTAGAGACATTGATCAAGGATAAGATGATGTGTCACTTAACAGCGAATAACTTACTGAGTGCTGTCCAGCATGGATT